GAAAACTATTAGTTTGTCTGATTTTGAATTTTCAAAAGTAATTTTTTAATTTTTTGTTATACTTTCAAAAATGGAGTGACTGATGTAACAAAACAATTGAGTGCAATATGAGAGCCCAACGAACATGGCAAAATGGACTTCTATATATTGAAATTCTTGGTCTATTCGTGCGTTGGATCTCTAGCCTAGGGGAGAGGAGCCAAATCCCTTTGAGACTTGCATGATATTTTTTTTTTGCTTGTACATTGAAATTCATAATCTATGACAAGACTTGAACCCTTAACGTTTTCTAATAAAGTATAGGAATTCTGAGTAACCCTTAACCTTTACCTATAATTCATAGAATAATTTATACACTCAGCATCTTGTTTTAATAAAATCTAGTTGTCAACAAGTGGTCCTATCAAGTTGTCTTCAGCCATAAGTATGATATTGGGCATTTTTAATATCAGAATTAATTCCACAAATGGGTTAGCATTTATGTATTGACAACCAATCTGTATCTGGAAAATGATAGCATTGGAGTATGTAATGCATATCATTCTTTTAGTCATTGAATTGTATACAATAAGATGAACAGCACCACATCAATTGTCAATATATAATAATTTTAGGGTAACAGTACTACTAGTATTTAGAGAAATTTATACTTTGCCCCATGATTTCTTATTGTGTTTGTTAACCCCTTAGACTTTCAGTCAAGTTACGATTGGATCCATTTAGACAACTCCTTTTTGAAAACTGACATACAATAGTTATGTAGTTGTATTAATTATACTTTGCACTTTTGTATTTTTATCAAAATCTTACTTTAGTTCTTAAAACTCTTGTTCTTTTATCAAAATCTCATTTTGTCCTTAATGCCCTTGTACTTTTATCAAAATCTCAATTGGGCATCTTGACTCCCTGCGCGGGTACCAAATACAATACATAACTCAAAACCACCCGACTCACTACCCGGACTCATAGGCTATTTACCCCACTTTTAGCTTTCTACTATGTTGTACCATCCATTGAATTAGAAAAGAAATTTTATAATGCATATGATGCATGAAATTTACAAATACTTATTTTCTCCTAAAATGATTTCCAATGTACACAATTCACTATTTCACCTTTCAATAATAACTATGGTTCACTCAACAATCATCACCAACACAAGGTGTATGTAGAAAAGTATTTCAAATCATACATTTCAACCTCAAAGTTAAACAATTACCCTTAATTTCATGTTTTAAGAATCAATTGAACAAAACCCCTCTTTTTAAAACAAATTTCAAAACTAGGGTTTATAGAAAAATTAGGGGTTTCCTCTCTTTCATGAATTAGAGGCTAAATTTCTTCACTAACAACAATAATCATAAAAAACAAACATAATTCCATCCATAATCATGAATCATTACTCATATCCTTCCAGACCATTTGGTAGCAAACAAAACACATACATATACGTATACATAAATATATATATATATATATCTACAAAATGAATAGCTAATGAAATTACCACATATGAGTTCCAAATTAAAGGTGTAACAAGTTAAGGACACCCCTATCTCAAAAATAGAAGCTAAAGTGGAGAATCCAAGCAAAACCTCAACCAAATCGCGAAACAATCGGTGAATAACTTGAACTTGACTTGCTCTACAAATATCTTGAAGGATCTTGGGTATCTTGAGCAAAATGCTAAGAAATCAAGTGGTTTGGAGCTAGGGTTTCGGAATGGATGGGAGAAAGAGAGAGAGAGAGAGATTTTGTGAAAAGTGAAAAAGAAATGAGGTAGGTCACCCCTTTAAGCTAGCTGCCCTGACAGACCGCTCGAGCAAACTTTTCTTCGCTCAAGCAACCAAGAAGATTTCAAGGAGACCGCTCGAGCGATACTTCCACCGCTCGAGTAGTAAATGCGAGGTCCCAAAAGTTTTGTAAAGCTACAGTGAAAATACTGAGAGCATGAATTCTACGTTCGAGCGACCACTTCACCACTCGAGCTGTCTCGCCTGCAAAATAGCACCTACTAAGAGCTACAAATCTTCGCTTAAGCGACCAAATGATTGCTCGAGCGGTCCTCAAAACTCAACTGTTACAGGATGTCATTCCTGAAGTGTGTGGGGATTGCATAAAGAATGCAAGCTAGGAGATCATGAAGTGTCCAACCAAAAATGCAATTATATGGCATGAATTTTGTCAAGTACGATATACACACGTGGCTTTCTTTTCCTTGACGGTTTATAATGGAATGTATCCTGACTCAAACAAATAGGAGAAAAGTATATCATACCATGTTAGTTTTATTAAAGTTTTGAAAGATTTTATGAATAAACTCTTGGATGAAGCCACTGTCAATCCTTCTAACCAAATTCTCAAGGAATGAATCCATCTATGGGCTTGTACAGTGCGCCAGAGACATCTCTCATAGCGACTGTAGAGCTTATTTGAAATTTGAATTTGGAGACCTTGAAACATGCTACAGTTGAATTTAGAACGCTGTTTCCGATCAGACTACCAAATTTGAGACAATTCCAAACTCGTTCCAAAAGTGCCTCTGTTGCTCTCAATTTGGTTTCTTTCTTGCCTTTTGGCGGTCCAATTATTCCAACAAGTCTTCGGCTACTTGTTCTATATCATTCCCTTCTTCTTGGAGAGAACTCGACCATGAGTTCAATTCTGGCTAGAGGGGTTCTTCAGTGTGATACCTATATAAATCAGCTACATTAAAAGTCTTGGAAATCACATAAGCATTGTCATTGATTTTCTTCAACACCCTATATGGATCATAATTGTGGGGCTTTAATTTGTTGTATGTGCCTATTGGAAATTTGTCTTTGCACAAAAACACCATTACTGAATCTCCTTCCTTGAACAGTTTAGAGGGTTGATGGTTGTCTACAACTGTCTTATATTTGGTATTTGTTTCCTCTAACTTCTGTTGTACTTCTTCTTGGATTGCTTGGGCTTGTTTGGCCATGGTTTCAACGCCAGTACTCACTCTTGGAACTCAAGGCAAATGGAGCAGATCAACTGCATGTTTTGGAGGTGTGACATACACCAGAGAGAATGTTGACTTTCCTGTGGCACTATGAACTACACTATTATATGCAAATTCTGCTTGAGGCAGAGCAAGATCCCACTGCTTTGGTTTGTCTCTACAAATGCTATGAACCAAATTTCCCAAAGTCCTATTAGTCACCTCTATTTGACCATCTGTTTGAGGATGCGCGGTTGAACTACGATTCAAGGCTGTGTTAAATATCTTCCACAAAGTCACTCAAAAGTGGCTAAGGAACTTGACATCACGATCTGAGGTAATGGATTGAGGAACTCCATGCAAACAAACTACTTCTCAAAAGAATAATCGAGCCACGCGAGAGGTGTCTGAAGTCTTTCGACAAGGAATAAAATGCGTCATCTTTGAAAACCTGTCAACCACTACGAACACAGAATTAACTCCACGTTGGGTACAAGGGAGTCCTAACACAAAGTCCATCAACAATTTTTCCCAAATGTTGTTAGGAACATATAGAGGCATATAGAGTCCAGTATTCTGAGACTGCCCTTTGGATACCTAACAAATGTAGCACCTCCTCACAAAATTGCCAACATCTTGCTTCAATTGAGGCCAAAAATATTATTTTTCCATACATGCAATAGTCATGTCCCTGCCCAAATGTCCACTTAAGCCACTACCATGGAGATCCTGAATTAGTTTCTCTCGCAAGAGGTACGGGGAATGCACAAGTGATTTCCTCAAAATAGATAGGCATCAGTGATGTGGAAATTAGTGACTAGTTGCCTTTGAATACACTTTGCCCATATCTCCTTGAAGTCATCATCATCTGGATAAAGGTCTTTCAGGAACTCAAAACCCACAATCTCATGTGTCAACGTGACTAATAAACTAGCCCCTCAACTCAAGGCATCCGCGACTTGAGTTAGAACCCCTGATTTATGGCGAATAGTAAAAGGAAATTTCTAAAGGAAATTAGACCATCTTACATGCATGTTTTCCAGGTGCTTTGGCTATTGATAAACTTTAAGGCTTGATGATCAGTATACAACACAAACTCTCTTTGTATCAGGTAATGTTCCCAATGCTTCAAAGCTTAAACCACTACATAAAATTCTTGGTCATAAGTGCTCCACTTTTGTTGAGCTTCACTTAATTTTTTGCTAAAAAATGCCACTGGTTTATGTTCTTGAGATAGGACAGCCCCGATGCCCACACCATTAGCATCACACTCTACCTCAAAGATCGTCTCAAAACTGGGCAAAGCTAATCATCACCCCATAGGAATTTTCTTTTCTTCATGCACTCTGTGATTGGTGCCACAATAATGCTGAAATTTCGAATGAAACGCCTATAAACTGTAGCCAACCCATGGAAACTCCGAACATCACTAACAGTCTTGGGTGTTGGCCACTCTTGGATGGCTCGAACCTTCTCTTAATCCACATGAATGTCATCTGAACTAACCACATAACCCAAGAACAACAAGCTACTTGTGAGGAAACTATACTTCTTAAGGTTAACGTATAACTTGTTTACCTCCAGTGCTGTCAACACCTCCTGTAAATGGGCCATGTGGTCCTCCTCTGATTTATTGTAGATTGAGATGTCATGAAAATAAACAACGACAAATTTCCTAGTGAAAGGTCATAATACCTGATGCAAAACTTGCATGAAGGTGCTAGGAGCATTGGAAAGGCCGAATGGCATGACCCCCATTCATACAAACCATCCTTAGTCTTGAACACTACTTTCCATTCATCCCCAGGACGGATTCAAATTTTATGGTACCCACTTCGCAGATCGATCTTTGAAAACCACTTTGATCCTTCCAGTATGTCCAACATATCATCTAGTCAGGGAATGGGAAATTTGTACTTAATGGTAATCTTGTTAATGGCTCGCTGTCTACACACATTCGCCAGCTTCCATATTTCTTTGGCGTTAATAATGTCGGAACAACACATAGACTTAGGCTTTCATGAATAAGTCCCTTTCACAGCAATTCTTTGACTTTCTTCTGTAGGATCTCACTCTGTTTTGGACTCATTCTGTAGTGTGGTAGGTTTGGTAGACTTGCTCCTGGTATGAAATCAATCTGATGCTGAATGTTCCTCATGGGTGGAAGTTTATCCAGCAACTCATCAACAGTAAGCTCTTGGAATTCCTCTAACAATGGTTGAATTTTCTGAGGGATTGGTGTGACTATGTTCTCCTTGGTCGCAAGTACCATTGTTTTCACATCCATAGCATATACCTCTTGCGAAGTTTTCGCATTTGCCACAAACTCGGCCTCTGAACTAGTTATAATGAGGAAATACTTCGCTTCAACTTTCAAAGGCATTGCGTGTTGCTTTATGGGACTTATAGCAATTTTATGAGACCCCCAATTGAACATGCAAGTGTTGTCTTGCCATCTAAATGTAACATCCACATCAAATTGCCAAGGTCTACCAAGTAATACATGACTAACATCCATATCAACCACATCACATAATACTTAGAATTTATAATGTTTTCCAATAGAAATAGGTACCTTACATAGTTCAGTTATCTTGACAGCATATTCTTTTTTTATCCAGCCAATACTGTAGGGAGAAGGGTATGGTTTAGGAGACAACTTCAGGTATGCTACCAATCGTCTAGCCACAAAATTTTCACAGCTTCCACTATCCACAATAAGGTCACACACCTTTTCATTTATGGTACAACAAGAGCAAAAAATACTGTGACATTGAATGAGGTCCTCAGTTTTTGGTGCAAATAGAACCCTTTGAACTACACAGTTAACTTGTTTTCCTTCTTCTCCGGCGAATTTTGCACCATCATACTGATCACCCTCATATTCTGTGTCTTCATCATTCCCAATTTTATCTTCTTCTTCAACTAAATTAACAGTCTTTCTTTCGGAGCACACATTACAGTGATGGCCAGGCTTGCCGCATCTATAACACTTATTCGTTGTTGGTTTGGCATAAGGATTTGTATTTCGACGTGTCTCCTTGCTACTTGATCTAGTCAACTGGTTTCCTCATCCACCAGTGGTACTCCTCTGTTGATTTACTAGAATTGTTGGTTGGGTAGCTCCTTTTCCTTTTTCTGTAGTAGGAAGCGACGAATCAAAAAGGTTTCAACGATATCCAGAATATATTGTCTTACGCTCCATTAGCTTGGCTTTGAAAGCCATATTATGTGCTTCATCCATAGTCCACACTACTGATAACCCCATCTTCTCTCGGATGGTTAATTTTAACTCATTGAGATACCGAACTACACGCTGTCCTTCGGTCTCATTCAGATTATTGCGATATGAAAGTTAGTAAATTCAGTTGTATAATCAAATACAGGTCGACTTCCTTGGGTGCAATTTTGGTATAACTGAAACAAGTATTGATCATAATCTGGTGATAAAAATCTGTCCTGAAGGAGTTGTTTCATCGACCACAAGTCCGTACAAATTATTTCCCTTGTCGATGCCTATTTTTCTGCAATTGATCTCACTATACGCATTACCTCCTTTTAGTTTGTACGCCACCAATTTCACCATCTTTGAATCTGGAACATCCATTATCCCGAAAAATCGCTCCATCTCTGAAAGCCAATCAAGAAAATCCTCAGTATGTAGATTTCTATTGAACTAGAGAAGATCTATCTTCATTCGGTACTCATCGAACCCTTGTTGTTGTTGCCTTCTGGTTGATAGTTGGCTAGAAGTGGTTCAAACTTTGGTTCAGACTCTTCCTCACTGTCAGATGGACAACGAAAGGGATGCCTAGGAGCATTCTGAACAGGTTGACCTCGGGCAAATCCTTCGGGGCATACTCTGTTCTGCTTAATAGGTTGGACTTGGGAAACTCCCTCATCACGAACCCTATTAACCATTGGTGCCCTATTGTTGGTATTGAGATTGAGGTCAATAAGCAGATCACGAATTTCGTTCAACTGCTCTTACAGTTTCTCATATGCTACCCATAGGGCCACGACCCCACAATCACCACCAGTAGGGTTTGCATGATCTACTCTGTCTTGTGCCATTGAGCTAGGTGACTCATTGCTTTGATACCACTTGACGTAGCAAAATAAATCACACGAGGCTAGATATCATTTTAGTAGACGAACAAAATCCTTGAATCCACAAGCAATAATTTGTTTTTTCAAAGAACATAATTATATTGCATCAAAAAAGATGATTTGCCCTAATGCATACATGCGTATTTATAATAAACCGAACCCTAATTAAATAAGGAAACAATGATAATTCCTTGCTAGACACGAAAATAAACATAAAATTACCAAAAATAGAAAATATGAGTTAAGCCCAAATCTGCATACTAGGAAACAATATTAGAAACAACATTTGATGCAGCAGAATAAATCACACAAGGCTAGATATCATTCTAGCCGACGAACAAAATCCTTGAATCCATAAGGAAGAATTTTTTTTTTCAAGAACTAAATTATATTGCATCAAAAAATATGATTTGCCCTAAGGCATACATGTGTATTTATAATAAAATGAACCCTAGTTGAAAATAAACAGAAAATTATCAAAAATAGAAAATATGAGTTAAGCTCAAATTTGTATACTAGAAAATAATAGAAACATGCCAAAACAGACGGCGCTAAAAATGGACTTCCCAAAATAAAGTTATTCCAAAAACGAACTTTTCTAAAACGGCAAAATCACTAATTTGAAGGCCTAAACGAAGGAATTTGGCTAAAATCCACCATTCACAATCATCGAGAACAGCGATGACCTCAATTTAAAATGCCATTTCCAATCAGACTACTTAATTTGATACAATTCCGAGCTTGTCCCAAGAGCTTCGCTATTGCTCTCAATTTGGTTTCTTTCTTGCCTTTTGGAGGTCCAATTGTTCCAAGAAGGCTTCGGCTACTTGTTCTAAATCACAATGTGTTAGTTTTTTTCATACAAATGTAATATATAAAAATTTGTATGTTTCATTGTAGTTAATCAGAATTTTATTTTCCTAATCTATAATATATATTTTTTCTATTCTTTTATGGTTAGATCCTGGGAAGCGTGTGCAAATGAATTGCAGTAGGCATCTAAATATCATCAATGGAATTGCAAGGGGAATGTTATATCTTCATGAGGATTTTCTCGGCTTAGAATCATTCATAGGGACCTAAAACCAAGCAATGTGTTACTAGATATTGAATTAAACCCAAAGATCTCAGATTTTGGAATGGCAAGGATCTTCGAAGGAAGTGATGGTGCAACTAACATTGCTAAGATTGTTGGAACATAGTGAGTTCACTGTTTGTTTTTCTATCATTTTTTTTCCCAAAACCAATCTATGTAAAACAATTAAGTAGGTAGCTTCATTAATCGCACTAGTTCACGTATTGAATATCTTTCCAATCCTTTCTCTTGTTGGATAGTGGTTACATGGCTCCAGAGTTTGCAATGGAAGGATTATATTCCATCAAGTCTGATGTTTTTAGTTTTGGTGTCCTCTTGATTGAGATCATAACTGGGATGAGGAATGCTAATTTCCATCTCACTAAGTGTGCTCCTAGCCTTATAGCATATGTAAGTTTATTTGGCTTAAGTTAGACTATACTTCTCAAAATTGATAGTCTTGTTGGAAATTTTGCTTGACTAAGTATATTTGGCCCTTTTTAGTTTTGGTGTCCTCTTGATTGAGATCATAACTGGGATGAGGAATGCTAATTTCCATCTCACTAAGTGTGCTCCTAGCCTTATAGCATATGTAAGTTTATTTGGCTTGAGTTAGACTATACTTCTCAAAATTGATATTCTTGTTGGAAATTTTGCTTGACTAAGTATATTTGGCCCGATGATGCTACAGGTATGGCAATTAAGGAATGAAGGGAAAGGGTTGGAATTGATTGATCCATTATTGACGGAGTCTTGTGATCTTGATGAGTTCTTAAGGTACATTCATATTGGTTTATTGTTTGTTCAAGAAGATGCATATGACATGCCTACTATGTCATCGGTTGTGGTTATGTTAAAAAGTGAAGTTGTAACTCTTAGCCAAACCCGAACGATATGCCTTCTCTGTGGGGAGATTAACTGATCATTATGAACCAAATGATAAAGAATATTCTGTTAATGAATCAACAATTTCTGATATTATGCCTCGGTGATCGATTATGCCAAGTTGAGTAATGGTTTCTATTAGGATACATTGCCATTAATCCCTGCAATTTACGGAAAGTATCACTTTAGTTTCTATCTTTTTAATTTGAACAATTTAAACCAATACTTTCAATTTTGTTGCAATGTGGTCCCTTCTTCACTTATCGTTAAACTTTGAAGCGAAAAAAAGACCATTTGCAAAACTAGAGGGACCAAAGTGAAATTTGTTTTGAATTTCACTATGATCCCTCTAATTTTGCACATGATTTTTTTTTCCCATTCAAAATGTTAACAACGCATGACGAAAAGATCACATTGCAACAAAATTAAAAATATATTAATTAAATTATTTAAATTAGAATTATGAAGACCAAAATAAAATTTTGATCAACCTAAAAGGGCTAGTAGTGTAATTTACCCTAATTAAGACCCTATGGAAGTTGTCATTACCAGTGTTTTTCTCGTCGTTCACATCCTTTTATCTCATATGATGGGTCGTTTATCTAGAGAGGCGACCGAGGAATTGTATCATATGTGGAAGGAATAATTTTCTAACTTACTCCAATTCTTATCTTGAATTTTCAAAGTGTACTTGTCATTATACTGTTATATATTGCTCACATGACAAGTGTCGTCAATTTTATTAGTACTAAACTAACCAAATGATCACGTTAAAATTTGATTTAAAGTGTAAAAAATTGACTATTTACAATTGAAAAATAAAAAATTAAATATAAAATGTAAGAGTGCAAAGTGTATTTCCCATTTGATTGGGAATTGTTGAATTTCGAAGAAATGCATGTTGATAATGCATATTGAATTATATTGTAATTTGCCTCTTGAAAGGAGATGGGATGACCGGTAATGGGTCAAGATGTTGAATATTGAATTGTAATATTGTTAGGAATTTAGAAAACACAATTTTGAAACTTATATAAATTTCGGGGACGAAATTCTTTAAGGGGGGAGGTTATAGCGATCCCGATTTTCCCCGTCAGTTGTTGTTATTGACGTTGTTGTCTATATCTCGTCTTCACCCTTTAACTCTTTGAATTTGAGTTTAGAAATGTCTTGGGCATGTTTTGAACAGGTTGGTTGAGTTTTAGTATCTAATCTTGTTGCCCAGATTTTTGATGATCCGCTCGAGCGGGTATTGTTGCGCTCGAGCGGAGTTTGCATCCTTTCAGCATTTTGTACGTCTGCAAATATACTACAGAAGTGTTTTTCATGCTCGAGAGGATTTCATTACGCTCGAGCGGGTCTGAGCTCGAGCAGGAATATTTGCGCTCGAGCGGGTAAAGTTTTTGTGTCTTGCGCTCGAGCATATTACTATCCGCTCGAGCGTACTA